GCTCCAGCCAGGACGCCGCCGCCGCTGCCGCCGCCAAGCACCTGCGTGCAGGCAGGTTGGGTCAGGGCACGCCAGCCCCGGCTACCGAGACGGCTCAGCAGCCTGGCTCAGTTTGGTCCCCGGGCTAGAGAATCTCACTCGCGAGGGCACCGCCAAGGCATCCGTCTCCGCCGCCAGCCTCAGATCTGCAGAACAGAGCCTGGCATCCTGCTGGCGGTGCCTGCAGACTTGCTGCCCGTAGGACTGTGCTAGACAGTCCGTGCCATTTCAGAAGGAACCCCCCCCCCCTTCCAAGCCAGCTGGCCAGCGACCATCCAAAACGTGCCAACGGGAGGTCCCTAGTAAGCTGACCTTATCCTGCTCGGGTGCCAGTCCACTGGCATCATAAAGAGGGGACGTCAAGCCAGTTAAGTCCATTCCTTGTGCTTCAGCGTTTGTTCTGTGCCTCCAGCATCGTCCTCCAGCAAGACAATATTTTAAAATAATCAAATAAAGATTGTACAGCCATCTGGACCTCGTTTGTGCCATCTGGCAGTTACCCAAAGCAGTGGCACAGAAGACATTGCTCGGTCCAGCTCCAACAACGGCCCATGCCAAGTGGAAGAGACCACCAGCTACCATTTGCTCTGCTAATCATTGCCCACGTTGTGTCCCTTGCATGAAACAACAGTTTCCACACTCAGACCAGCCTTCATTCTACAACTAACCACAGAGTGTAAGGGAAACTCCTTTCATCAGGATGTCAGTAGTGCGAAGGAAGTTTGGTGATGACTATCAGGCCGTGGTGGCTGCACCACCCCATCGGAAACGGCAGCGCTTTGTGGACAAAAACGGCCGCTGCAACGTCCAGCACGGGAACCTGGGCAGTGAGAACAGCCGCTATCTTTCTGACCTCTTCACCACTCTGGTGGACCTCAAGTGGCGTTGGAACCTTCTAATTTTCTTGCTGACCTACACTGTTGCTTGGCTGGTGATGGCCTCCATGTGGTGGGGAATTGCTTATTTGCGTGGGGACCTAGATATACACCAGAGTCCCAGTCCAGGGCACAGCCCGTGTGTGGCCAATGTCTACAACTTCCCCTCAGCCTTCCTCTTCTTCATTGAGACAGAAGCCACCATTGGCTATGGGCATCGCTACATTACAGAGCGTTGCCCAGAGGGAATTGTGCTTTTTCTGTTCCAGTCCCTGTTGGGCTCTGTGGTAGATGCCTTCCTCATCGGATGCATGTTCATCAAGATGTCCCAACCCAAAAAACGTGCCGAAACTCTGATGTTTAGCCGTGCTGCCGTCATCTCGCAGAGAGATGGGAAACTCTGCCTTATGTTCCGGGTGGGCAACCTGCGCAACAGCCATATGGTCTCAGCCCAGATCCGTTGCAAACTCATTAAGGTGGGTGAAAGGATTCCCTGGAAGGGAGGGAGTTTCATGGGGTTGAGGTTCTCGCCATCTTCTTGCATGCGGGTCTTGATAGCTCTGCGCTAGGATGTGGCAAAGGCCTATCTTCAACCTTCAGATCTAGCTTCTGTTTTAAGCCCTCTCTACAAAGGAGCAACGAAGAGCTTTTGGAGAGGGCAAGCACATTTAATATGTGATAGTCTGTTGCAAAGCAAAGCTGCTATATAAATAATACACATCTGTAGATATTAAACCAGGATTAAATGGGTTCTAAAAAAGATGATTAAGTAGGCTTAGGGGGCTGTAGCACATATCCCAAGGATAATGAATGTTCACTGCTATTAAAAAATACACTTTGTGATATTTGGTAAAACATACACATTTTCAGATTTTGCTTTGGATATTTAATTGAGGATAAAACCAGAGACTATAAACTTACAATTGGGCTTTTTTGCATTTCACAGAGAACTGTTCCCAGTAACATTCATAGGATCAAGGTCTATCTTAATTTTACTAACTTTAGCTTTTGACAACTTCTCTCTTAAAAAAAACAAAAAACTTCAAAACCAAGCAAACATTCAGAATAGCTAACCATCAGGAAGCAATCAAGTTAGAAAATGTACATGATTTTTTGCAAGCACATCTGAGCTACCTTAAGTCATTGGTGAACTTTGTTATTGGGCAGCATGTCAATCTTGTTAATAAATAAATAAAAATTAGGAGAATGCGCTAAGGATTCTATCCCTGCCCTATGTACTTAAGTTTGGGTTGCTTGATGTGAGTAAGGTCTTAGTCCAAGATGTTTATAAAGCCAGAGAAAACATACTAAAAAGAAGAATGTCTTTAAGCACATGAAAAATGCCTTTCCATTACTACCATGCTACCTTAGCTGGTGCCTACGTTATGTTCTGCAGTGCAAAGAAATGGTCGGTGCTTTCTGTTTTGACCCCACCAGTGGGAGAGAATAGACTCCAGGCCTTTCCATTCCTGCAGGTGATTGGTGCCACCCCAGCTGCCTTCCCTGACAATCTGTTCAACATGGAAGCCCTCATGCAAACCAATTTGCACCCAGCCCACTCTCTTCCAGGTCAGAATCACTGTACAACAGCAGGAGCAAGCAATATTCAGAACAGCTGCAAGGAGGAAAAACAACATTGGAAATGCTTTGGGGAGGGAGCAAAACGCAGTACCTTCCAGTATTCACTGCAATCGAATACTTTCTACCTATGAATACTTTCCTACCTCTGGGGACAAGCCTTTTCATGCAGCATGAAAGAAACAACTTTCCTATCTGAAGCTA